TGTTTTGTTTTATTTTGCTTTGTGACTTACTTTGTTCTGTCTGTTATTACTTGAAACCACTTAAATCCTACTTTTTATACATAATAAAATCACTTTTGTTTGTTAATAAACCCAGAGTAAGTGATTAATACCTGGGGGAGCAAACAGCTGTGCATAGCTCTCTATCAGTGTTATAAAATTTATTTATTTACCCTGTATAAGCTTTATATAGAGTAAAACGGATTGGATCCCATTGGGAACTGGGTGCTGGAGACAGGTAACCTGCTAAGCTGTTTTCAGTTAAGGCTGCAGCTTTGGGAGCGTGGACCTGACCTTGGGTCTGTGTTTGCAGCAGCCTAGTGTGTCTGGCTCAAAAAGACAGGGTTCTGGAAGTCCCAAGCTAGCAGGGAAAACAGGCTCAGAGGTAATTTCAGCACATCAGGTGACAGTCCCAAGGGGATCTCTGTGACTGAACCCGTCACACCTCCCACTGAATCATTCTGAAGATTTTGATCTCTTTTGCACAGTTGTGCTGAACCCGATGGAATTACCCCAGGTTTGCACAAGTGTAGCTGAGATCGGAATCTGGCCCTCAGTACCTAGAGAGTGAGCGGACCGCAAACTTCAGTTATAGTGCTGGACACTCAAACAGAAGGGGAGCAGTGATAAGTCTACATGGCACATGCACGCCATAAATCCCAGTTATTCCGAGAGCAGCAAAGCACTGGAGAGGAAGGAGGTGCGGAATACTGCAAACTGATCTGCGTTAAGAAGATGAACCCAAACAGAGGGAGGCTTGCAAAGACACTGAGAAACAGCAAATAACCCTCCCCTCTCCTCCCAATATTGAGCTCTCTGCGTTTAGGTCTTAAGATAAGCTCGGCAGTGACACAGATTTACTTGCTCCTGGCTCTGGTTCCTTTTTGAGCACTCATATTTTATTTATTTTTAATCTTCTTTGGGGAGCCTGGTATCAAAGCTGCAATAGACTTGCGCTCTGCCCATATGTTCTGTTTGATGACATCTTCTCAAGTTCCCTAATATCTGTCCACAAGTTCAGAGACACTCATAAGCCACTCACAAGTACAGAGACACTTGTTCTTTTCTCTTGACATTCATGATATTCAGACTGGCACATCAGAAGAAAAGGTCAATTGAAGCCCAGAGCCTGAGTTACATGAAGCTCCATCTATAGGAAATGAAAGACCATTTTTCTATCATACCAATCTGTCAAACTTGTCTCTCCTGTCAATGGAGGAACAACACCGCTAAAGAAGGTATTCTGTTGTCAGATTTATTCCAGGATTTCTACCTGCATTCATTTGCCCGTATCCCACTCATTACTAGTATTATTTATACAGCATTGCACATGTCCACGGGGTAGCTTACAGTCCAAATAAGACATAACAGAGCAAGTAATAACAAATAACAGCAGTGATGTGGGGAAAGGGTGAGAAGGATTTAATGCCCTTATCATTTATCTCAGGCTCTCCCGTATCAGAGTCCTTTCCCCATGAAGTCATTCTGGGATTCCAATGTATATTACTGCTGCTTGTGTTAATATTTTTCTATTCATTGGCTGTCAGTCCATTACTGTTGCATTTTTGCCTTGTCTTGTTTTTCATTGCATATATTTTTTCTCTTTTTTTCCTTAAGAAAATTAAAAAGGAACAAAGGATGCATGCCAGCATCAAGGCTGAAATGTGGATTGCAGGGCCTTGTAATGTGGCACACCAGGTTATGGGGGGAGAGCAAGGAGGATTACTGGAAGGTGTTCACACCACAGGAAGCCCCATCAGGGAGGGAAAAAAGATCCTATTTTGTAAAAAGGAATTGGCTGGGAAAATCCTAGCCGGAGAGGGAAGGCTGACATAGTTTGATCCTATAGATTTAACACAGCAAACTTTGAACTGAAGTAAGAACTGGATCAGGCCCTTAGGTACTTTCCATTAAGAATGACCTCTAGCCAAGGGGTTCATGTTCTCTACAGATGTCAGCTCAGCAAAGGGAAGATGTTCTATGTATGGCATTCAGACACTGGTAAGACCACACACAGAGATGCAGAACCATTCTGCTGACTCACCTGGCAGCTAGATCTGGTGGTTCCTTTTAGCTCTAAATCAGGTGGTTAAAAAAGTAGTATTTCTCAGACAAGAGGGAACTAGATACTGGGGCAGAGGAGTCATGCAGGAATAAACCTCAGGAACAGCAGTGCTCTGGAGAAAGTTGAGGCTTGTTATTTAAGTTAACAAAGAAGGGAAACCTTAGGAACCAGGTAAGTTTGGAGACTATCCAGAGTGTGTGCTCTGTTAGAAGAAGGGAGGGAGCACTACCTGCTTAGAGGGATCTAGCCAGTTATTTAAAAAGAAAGTCATGTACATCCTTTGAGTTTTGCTTCTTCAGTCTATAGAGGATTCCAAACAATGGGGGTGGGGGAGTTGTGGAGTTTGACATCCCCTTCTGAATACAAATCAGCCTTCTGTCCACAGTCCAGGGGAATTCATGAGAAACTTGACAAGAAATACGACACAAGATTTGAACCTGGACCCAGCCCCATCCTAACAAAGTTCAAGGTTCTAAGTATGGTTCTGGAGTTTTGTTTCAACCCAGTATTTTATTAGGGGTCTTCTGCAAAACCTGGATTCAGATCTGATCTAACACAATGGTCAGGGATGTTTGAATCTGGGATTTTGCTTCAGGTCCATCTATAACTACACAGGTCCAGAACAATAAATGCCAGGCTCAATAACTCAGAGAGGCAGCTGGCCGAGCAAAGACAGAGAAGGCGACTGAGCTTTGAAACCCTGGGTAATAGTGCAGGAATGATTTGGCATGTGCTGCTTATCTGCTGCTCTGTTCAGAGTGGTAATAGAGAAGCAAGAGGGAAGGAGAAGAAAAATAAAAGGCACAAATGAATTAAAAGAAGAAAAATCTGATTGCAGGATCCTGTCCATCCAAAGGAAATAAAAATAAAGACACAATCTTCTCTCCCAGCCAAAATGGACGTGTTAATCTCCATGAGACTCAAATACGCCAGTGGTTGGCAATGGGTGAATGGGTAGACAGATGGCTAAACTATACTGATTTCAATTCATGGAACCTGGTGTTTAAACTACCACAATGTCAGGCCGAGTTAGCACCATGTGATTTTTTAGACTGTACAATACCAATAGTGTTTAATGCAGAATAGAAATATCTGAGACGATGCTCTGAGACTGGCCACTTAATGAGGAATTTGAGGTGTTAGCTCAGAGATGCATTTGGGGCCCCAATTCTGCCATGGAGAGTCACGTAGTGTCTGCTGAGGGACGCATAGAGAGTACATTGCTGCTTAATTAACACGCAGAGCAGAATAGAGAATGAGCCACTCTTCTAAATTCCATCGCATTAACAAGCAAGAAAAGGAAAAAGCCAGAGCCCATTGGAGCATAGGGCCCCATCCTGCCAGGTGCCCAGATCCCTCAACTGCCTGTGGAGTGAATAGGAGCTGAATGCACCCCGCACCCAGCAGGAGGCGCTCTGCACATCACAGGCTCAGACTCAATGGAACAGGATTTAAAGGGACACGGGTCATTAAAACCTGGAAGCGGATTTGGGCCTTGTGTTTCCAAAAATGCAATGATATTTAAAACATAACAGCTACCTAGGCACTCAGCCAGCGAATGGTCACAGATTAAATTAATTCCATGCTGGCTTCACAGTAATGTGCTTACCTCACTTACCTTACTCTAAAATGTATAACCACTGTTCAATAACCAACATTAGAGTCTCTCTTTAGCTTGTAATTAAACATTAATCTAATTTGCCTGGAGATGACTGGAGCCACCAAGCATTGCTATAACAGCCCATGCCTTTTCCCCAGCCCACCGTATTCCACCTGCTTTCCCTGCCTCTTCTCACTCTTCTCTATCCTGGAATCCTTGCTAGCCTGATTCTGCAAGGGGCATAAACTTCAATGGCTGAGTTTTCTCCCCAAACTCTCCAAGTATCAATATCTGATCTCCTCTACTTCCCAAAAGGTCCCTCCTGTGGGCCAGACCCCAGTTTCCTAAGTGAAATTGTTTACTGGTGGTCTATGTTATTCAGAATGGCAGCACATCAATACCCAGCAGTTAAGTTTGTTAGGTTTCCTGGGGCATTCCGAAAAACACATTTACTACTGTAATTAGAATAACTGCCCAAACCCTACTTTTGTATTGTGCTGAGCTGGGGAGAGCTGCTGGGCATGTATTTACAGAAGTGCTCTGATGGTTATACTGCAAGATTGGATCAACCCATTTTCCTTGGCTTGGGGACCCTCAAAACAAAGCTGAGCTGTTCTGATTCCCTAAGCACATTCAGGCAGACAACACTGATAGCTGACCAGAGAACATTTATGGCTGAGCTACAGAACTCACTATTCCTTTACAGGTTGTTTTGAACAACAGTTCAGTGCATGTGATAAGCACTTTAATAGGTTAGAAAAAAAGCCCTACTAGGGGCAGAATCCGACACTGGGCCAGGAGGCCTGATAAAGCCCTCCACACCACCTTACACCCCTACCAGGGCTGCACCAGGGTTGGCAGTGGAGCAGAGGGGCAGTAGTTTGGGCCACTGCACTGTCATGAACAGGCTGGTGGCACGGGCAGAACTATGGGATATTGGGCTTTGTGAATCCATTGGCCCCAACACCTCCCACAAATGATATGAAAGGGCTTCAGTTGCGACTGAGTCCATCGATTAGACAAGCAGCTGCAAACTCCTCTGCCAACTCCTATCGTGGCCTTGGTTTAGCAGGATGGATATTGCCTCCCCAGCACAACCTCCCAACACCTCATCTGGCTTTCATGCAGCTAGCCTTGCCCAGTCAGACTGGCAGGTTGTCAGAGCAGAGACAGCGGGAACTATTTCCAAATGGAGGAAGTTGAAAGCAAATCAGTCCAATTCCAAGCAAAGAGTCTTGGGTTTCACGAAGGAACAAAACACTAACACGAGAAAGAGGAAAGCTCCAAGGATAATAGATAAGGCAATGCCACATCTACCTTATCTGGTTCTCATAGTTGTCCATCAGGAAGGACCAGTGGTACTTGACGAGAAGCGGGCTGCAGTTGGTCATTTTGATGTAACGTACAACCTCGGTGTCGTTCAAGATGCAGCCGAAATCCAAATCCATAGTCTGGAAGTGGAGGTTTGGGAAGTGCACTTCACCCCGAAGGGTGACCTGGTCCTCATGAGGGTGTTCCAGATACCAGATAGTCAGGACCTCCTCTGCAACCCGGGTGTTCAAATCCTTTCTGTAGGAAGGGTCAAACCTGATGGAGAGATGCTGCTCCTCTCCGGTCTCTAGTGTCCTGGGCTGCATTGAGACAGACAGGGATTAATCACTGTTGGACTGAACTTTACCAGTCCAATGGTGTGAAATGCACAAACACACATTGACAATCCGTGAAAAAACCGCGGGCATCTCAGCCCATCCATCTCTGAGCCTCATTAGAGCATGCCTAAGTGTCTGGCAGATCAGCCCACAATGAGTCGCGTTTCAGACCTTCTCAGATTCACACACATTCCTCTGCATTGCATCAATCCAGCAGAAAGTTTTGCTGAATTTTGAACCCCTCAAAGTTTTGACAAACCAGTACATTGCTGGGTTCATGTTGAGACTAAAAAAAAGCAAACAGTAGAGAGAGAAAAAAAAGCCAATGGAAGAAATAAAGACAGCATATTGTGAACTGTCTGTGATTTGTGTGTCACTATTGCTCCTATATAAAACTGTGTAAAATAAGAACTGCTCCTCTGTGTCTCATAAGCCCTGTTCTGTTAATAGTTATAGAGCATCTCCTGCAACTGAAGTTCTAGGGGATGGTGCTTTTTGAGCAGGAGGATCTGAGGGTTAGCTCTGTTGTCACTATTAAGTGGCTACTGTTTGCAGCAAATTCGTAACCACGAAGTCCTAGATACGAGGAGTCGTTCCCCTATCACTAATACACAGCACAGGATTCCCTGTGTTCCTGGTTTTGTAAGTGAATATCCATTTGGGTGGGGGGAGGAAACATGAGTCAAGAAAAAGGGTCAGGAACTCAAACTAATTCTGTCAACCCCAAAATTAGTCTGAGGTTTGCAAAACCTCAAGCTCCAATGGCTTTGCCCAACCCAAACCGAGGAGAAAATCTCCTGCCAGGAAACGATGTGGCAATTTCATGCAATACTGTGGCAAGTGTGATGAGTCAGCAGGCCTGATTCTGATCTCACCTGCACTGGTTTTACTTCCGTGTAACTCCATTGCTCATCATTTACACAGGCGTGTCAGAACACGAGGTGGCTGGCTGGAGCAGGGGCTGGCTAGCGTGAAACAGGCATGGACTAGGGCAGGAGCCGGAGCAAGGGCAGTCTACCAGAACTACTAGGCAAGGGGAGTGCTCCTGGCCAGGTAGTGATATTGAGCAAACTGGAGCAACTGCCTCCCTTGAACAGCCTATACACCAGCCTTGGGATCATAGGTGCCAACTTCCTCTCTACCTGGGGGTGCTCAACCCCCCCCACGACCAATGCCCCCACTCCACCCATTCCCCCAAACCCCCACCCCGCCTCTTCCCTGGCTCTGCCCCCAGCCCTGCTTCAAATCCACCCCTTCCCCCAAACTCCCACCCCGCCTCTTCCCACCCTCGCTCTGCCCCCAGCCCTGCCTCAACTCCACCCCTTCCCCCAAGTCCACACCCCACCCCACCTCTTTCTGCCCCCTCCCCGCCTCTTCTCGCCCCTGCCCTGCCTCTTCCCCGCCCCTTTCCGCCCTCTCCCCCAAGCATGCCCTTCCCCCTCCCTCCAAGTGTAACCCACACACTCCTGGGTGTGGTGCGCTGTCCCATCTAGTGGCACCAAGACCACTGAGACAGAGATAAATGCGTCTGCTCTACAGCCTTAACGAACAGCCACATGGCTTTTAGCTCATGCAGCAGAGGCTCATGCCCTAAGCTCCAGCTGCTCCAGGTTCGATCCTGCCTGCCGATGACCAGGGTCGGTTGATGTTACACAAGCACCAAAAGAAGGCATTACTCCGCTGCTCCTCAACCCTCCTAGCCTTCAGAACAGCTACCTTAGACCAAGTGTATTTCAAAAACCCAGAAATGTGTGTGTCAGATGATCCAATAGTTTGCTTTGCTTTCAGATTTAACTCAGACCAACACTAATCATATAGAATTAATCTCAGTGCTACCCTTGGAAGCCTCTCTGTTCTTGCTCCTCAGACACAAACACACCAAGGAGCCTTACATGAAACCTACAGTCTGCTTACCTGAGCCTCTGCAGGCAGCGTTTGCTGGTCTGTATCACAGAGGAAGAAGGGGGCTTGTAGGGACAGGAGAACGCTGAGTGGCAGGGAGGAGACGTTCTTTAAGATCAGAGGTTCATACTGCGAAGTCAGGACATCACTGGGGTGCTGTGTAGATGCAAAGCTATGTGAGAAAGGAAGAGAAACCCCGAGACAAGCACATGCCCACTAGGACTACTGTGCTGCAGGCAGGCAGCTGGGCCTGGAAGGGAGATTTCAATCCTCCGCCACAGCACAGCAGCTCATTTCTACAGCTTTTGTGGCATGAGCAAAGTCTAACATGCCTCATCAAATGTGTGTGTGGACATGACAATGCTGGCTTTGTAGGGTGACGCTAAAGCATTTTCTGAACGAAGCAGGGTATAGCTGTGTGTTTCTACAATGTCACAAGAAAAAATAAGGATAAGGAAATAAGGCATACAATTTTAAGTGAGAGTAATTAGCCATTGGAACAATTTACCAAGGGTCATGGTGATTTGATTTTAAAATCAAGATTGGATGTTTTTCTACAAGATCTGCGCTAGGAATTATTTTGGGAACGTTCTCTGGCCTGTGGTATTTAGGAAGTCAGACTAGATGATCACAGTGGTCCCTTTCTGGCCTTGGTATCTATTATTCTTTTTCTCATTTCTTCCTGGGTTCCCTTTCCCCAATTTTCAAAATGTTCCAATTTGAAATTTCATCAAAATTCAAAAACCATTATGACCAGCTGTATAACTCGTCAAAAATTGGGGAAACTTTTCAATGACCATTTTGTCAATTTCTCCCCTTCCCTCTCCCCTCCTTTTCTTTTTCCTTTTCTAATTTCAAAATTCTCACACACCCAAAATTGGCAAAGTTTGAAAAATTTCAACCAGCTCTATCACTATTAATACTTTCTAGCCCTTTTCTCCCTCAAATGCATTTACTTTACAAACCATAACATGTGAGGCTGGGAAGTATTACTATCCCCATTTTACAGATGGGGAAGTAGAGGCACAAAGAAGTGAAATGACTTGACCAAGATCATACAGGAAAGTTCAGTGGCAGAGTGGGGAACAGAACACAGGTCCCCTGACTCCAAGTCCTATACTTTAACTAATAGACAGTGAATCTTTCTCAGTCTAACTGGCACAAAGGGCTTTTATTCACAGAGTAAATCCTGCCAACCTTACTGATCTGAGGCATCCCATTAAAGTCAATGGGGTTACTTGCATGAGAAAGACAAGCAAGAAAGTCTTTGAATCTTTCCTAAATCAGATGCACAGAGAGCTCACATAGTGGGGTGGGGCAATGGTTTTACTGGCATTCATGTGTGATGATCTGGAACCCCGCTCGTGGCCTCAGCATTGCTATGGCACCATCCCACACGGAAGCGGATCAGTTCTTTATTTCTCAACACACTATCATGCGACTTGCCCAGGGGCCTTGGGAAGGTCACTTAACTGCTCTTGCGGTTTATCTACACTCCAGCGGGGAGGTGTAATTTCCAGCTCAAGCAGACACCCCCACCCTAGATAGTGTGGTAAAAATAGAAGTGCAGCCACCTTGGCTGGCTGCCCTAAGTATGATCCTGGCCAAGATGAAAAGTAGGTACTCGGGGCAGCTAATCCCTCCCACTGCTTGCACCTTATCTACCCACAGGCATAGCGGGACGGTGAGGAATTAATTAATGCTTCTAAAGGAGATTGACCATGTAAAACACTATTAAAGGCGAAATCCTAACCCCACTGAAGTCAATTGCAAAACTCCCATTGACTTCAATGGGGCCAGGATTTCACACAGTCTTTGCACATGTTTGTGCACACACACACACACACACACACACA